GCTACAGCTACAGCTACAGCTACAGCTACAGCTACAGCTACAGCTACTACTACTACTACTACTACTACTACTACTGCTACTACTATCACTACTACTACTACTACTACTACTACTACTACTACTACTACTGATGACATCAACACCACCACCGCCAGCAGAGTTGAAGAGCATGAGACAAACACACAACCAAGGCTGGGTGGTGCCCAAAGCGAGACGTGATGGAGCCAAGAACAAGTTTCTTGGCAGCCACAGCCTCAGCTGCACAATTGGCATTGATTGCTGGCATCAAGTTAACATAATGTAGCGGTCAGAAGAGTTAGAAAAAACATCCTCCTTATTGTAGGCATAGTAAATTACTGGGTGACGCTTGAGAGGCGATGTAGTCCTGGGCCAGCTGGCGGACAAGAGCAAGTACACCAGGCACGACCCGCCCGTTGCAGGCTGCGAGCTCCTGGCTCTTAGCGTGTCAGAGCACGTGGGTCCAGCGGTTCGTGTGTGTGTGTGTGCGTGTGTGTGTGTGTGTCCGATTCTTTCTAGCTTCAATCGAGCACGTCTTGGATACCTGCACTCTAAAATTTCTGAATCTTATGAACCTTCCTGCTAGATCTTGCCCGAACACCCCACACAGACATTCAGCAAGCCGTCGATATCAAGCAAACATGTAGCAGTAGGCTCTCAACCCAGAGTTCAACGATGATAGTGATGTGTACACTTTTTTAAGATTTTAGCCGGTGCTTAGCATGTGTCTGGCTCTCACATACCGATGGACATCCAGTTAGTGCAACCATGTGTCCATGAACGCCTAAACCCTAAAACCAAAACCCTAGACCCTAAACCCTAAACCCTAAACCCTAGACCCTAAACCCTAAACCCTAAACCCTAAACCCTAGACCCTAAACCCTAAACCCTAAACCCTAAATGTCGCACTGCAGGCTCAGGGCTGGGCTGATGCCTGCCTCGGGGCCCCCGGCCCGAGAGGGCGCAGACATCGAGACGCTGGACGGCCAGGTGGTGGGCAAGGCCAGGGTTTAGGGTTTAGGGT